TTTCTTTCTTTAATTTTAGTAGATTTAGGGGATACAAGCTGAATTCCATTACACATATATACTATATAGAGGTGAAGCCTGATCTTTTAGCATACTTATCACCTGAATAGCGTACATTGTACCCCACAGAAATACTCTTTTAAAATTGTCAGTTACCACCTATTACGGAGGCTACCCTGGAAAGATCTCTAAATTAACAAAAGAATGGAGTAGTCTTCTGTCATTTACCTCTCAGCCTTGCCTGGGTCTAGCACTTAAGCAATTCCAATAATAAGATGTAAGACACAGAGATAAGAATCCTTGGAATCAGCTCAGAGTTGGTCAGTAGGTAGAGTGAAGACACCAAGCATCAGCTCCCTCCCTTCCCACCTTGCCTGACCTGTTTTGTCTTGAAATGCAAGCTTTAAGGGCAAGTTCAAACAACCAGATAAACTTATTTGGGCAGGGGCAGCACCTGTGGCTCAGTGGGTAGGGCACTGGCCCCATGTGCCGAGGGTGGCAGGTTTGAACCAGGCCCTGGCCAAACTGCAACAAAAAATAGCCAGGCATTGTGGTAGGTGCCTGTAGTCCCAGCTACTCAGGAGGCTGAGGCAAGAGAATGGCCTAAGACTAGGAGTTGGAGGTTGCTGTGAGCTGTGACACCACAGCGCTCTACTGAGGGCGATAGGCTGAGACTCTGTCTCTAAAAAGAAAAAAACAAAACAAAACAAAACTTATTTGGGCAGTCCACTCTAAGATACTCCCTGGCTTTTACTACTTCCCAAGTCTCCATCTTTCCTCCAGCCATCTACACAGAATCTGACTTTCAAGTGGAAGTCTAGACCTTAGTATAGCCCACTTTGACAAACACCTTTATCTCTCTCCCTTTGTTCACTGCCCTGCACTGGGGACTGATCTCTGAGGCTGTGTAGAATACAGGGCAACACCCTGTCGTCATGTATGGAGGACAAAGGGGAAGAGCAGAGGCCAGAATGGAAACAAGGCCTCCACACCAGTGCTACTGAAACTCAAGGCTGGGCACAGTGGCTCCTACCTATAATCCTAGCACTTTGGGAGGCTGAGGTGGGTAGAATGCTTAAGCTCAGGAGTTCAAGACCCGCCTGAGCAAGGGTAAGACCATGTCTCTACCAAAAATAGAAAAATTAGCTGAGCATTGTGACAGGCACCTGGAGTCCCAGCTACTCAGCAGGCTGAGGCAAGAGGATCTCTTGAGCCCAGGAGTTTGAGGTTGCCATGGCACCATACCCAGGGTAACAGTGAGACTCTGTCTCAAAAAAAAAAGGGAACAGAAGGAAGGGGAGGAGATGGGAGGGGAGGGGAGGGGAAGGGAGGAGCGGGAAGGGAAGGGAGAAGACAAGGGGGAAGGGAAAAGAAAAGAGAGGAGAGGAGAGGGGAGGGGAGGGCAGGAGAGGGAAAGGGAGAGGAGGAACAATTACAAAAACAGACTGCTGGACCTTAGCTCCATGGATTCTCATTCAGTAGTGCTGCAGTGGAGCCCAGAAATCTGTTTACACCAAGTTTCCAAATCATGCTAACACAGCTGTTCTAGGGACCACATTTTGAGTAGCACTTGCTAAGCTTCCTCTGAGTGGCCGATTTTCAGTGTTTCCAGAAGCTTCTTGCTTGTACAAAATCTCCTTGTGGTTCTTCCTCATGTCCCTGACCTTTGTAAGTCAGTACTGCCTCAAGATTCACTCTATAAATTTCTTCTTTGTCTAAACTCATTCCCTCTCCTGGTGAATACATCCTGCCTCATGGCTCCAGTAACATCTATATGCTGCTGATTATGCTGACTTAACATATGCAAAACTAAACTGCAGGTTTGCTGCTAGAAGTACATTTCTCCTTTCAAATGAGCAAGCCAAATATTTTAGGCTGGTCTATTTTTATTTTTTTTAAAAATAGTCTCACTTTGTCACCCTTGGTAGAGTGCTGTGCTGTCATAGCTCATAGCAAACTCAAACTCTTGGTCTCAAGTGATCCTCTTACCTCAGCTTTTCATTTTTAGTAGAGACAGGTGCTCAGGCTGGTCTCAAACTGATGAGCTCAAGCAATCCTCGGTCTCCCTGAATGCTAGGATTACAGGTCTGAGCCACTGCACCCGGCCAGGAGTGGTCTTTATTTATCTCTTTCTCATACGCTATTTATCTCTTTCTCATCCAATTCATATTTATCTCTTTCTCATCCAATTCATCAGCAAATACCTTCAAATTAGCAGCAGAATCAGTCCAATTCTTACAGCCACTGCCCATCATCTCTTGCCAGAATTATGTAATAGCCTCCTAACTCTTCCTTCTGTTTCCACTCCTGTCCCCCTACCATTTACAAAGCAGCCAGAGAGATCTTTTTGTTGTTGCAGGTTAGCCAGAGCCGGGTTTGATCCTGCCACCCTCGGTATATGGGGCTGGCGCCCTACTCACTGAGCCACAGGCATCGCCCTAGAGAGGTCTTTTTAAAATAGAAAAAGTGGGTGGTACTGTGGCTCAGTGGATAGGGCACCAGCCCCTTATACCAAGGGTGGCAGGATCGAACCCAGCCCCAGCCAAACTGCAACAAAAAAAAAATAGGCATTGTGGCCGGCACCTGTAGTCTCAGCTACTTGGGAGGCTAAGGCAAGAGAACCGCCAAAGCCCAGGAGTTGGAAGTTGCTGTGAGCTGTGACATCACTGCACTCTACTGAGGATGACAAAGTGAGACTCTGTCTCCAAAAAATAAATAAATGAAATAAAGTTATGTCACTCCTCTGGCTGAAAGACCTTACACTACTATCTGGCCTACCAATGCATAATTTCCCATTTGTTTTACTTCTTTCTCATTCTGTTCAGTCCCTCTGGCTGCATTATTATTCTTCAACTAGACCAGTCATACACCCATCTCAGTGCCTTCATTGTTGTTCCTCTGGCCTAGAACTTTCTTTCCATAAAAGTCTGTCCCCCTCACTTCCTTCAGTTCCCTATTTAAGCATCACCCTGTCAGTGAAACTCATCCCTGATTATCCTACATAGAATCACAAGCCAGCACCCCCCAAGCCCCTCCTGTACTCCATTTTTCTCTATGAAACTTATCTTCTGATTTATCATCTATTTGTCTTATTTACTGTCTTTCTGCACACACTAGAATGTGAGCTCTTAGGAGAGTAGCTGAGATTTTAGCCTACTCCAGGCACACAGCAGGTGCTCAATAAATATTTAAATGGAAGAATGGGATTATCCTGAATTCAGCCTGTTGATACCTGCATCCTGGGTTCTTTTGATATCAACTTTTTTTTTTGATACAGAGTCTCACTTTGCCACCCTTGGTAGAGTGCCATGGCATCATAGCTCACAGCAACCTCAGACTCCTAGGCTCAAGCCATTCTCTTGCCTTAACCTCCCAAGTATCTGAGATTACAGGCACCTGCCACAACGCTTAGTTACTTTTAGACATGGGGTCTCACTCTACTTCAGGCTGGTCTCAAACTCATGAGCTCCAGTGATTCACCTGCCTCGGTCTCCTAGAATGCTGGCTGAGATTACAGGAATGAGATACCAACTTTAGAGCAGAAGGGATTTTATTCTTTGTTAATTTTGTAAACTAGGTGCAAAAAATTAGGTTTTTTGTACTTAAGATACAAAGAAAAATACATTTCTTGACTGTGGAACTCCCACTAGGGGAGAGAAAGAGGATGACAGAAATAATTGGGGAGAAGGGTAATAGGATAAAGAGGTAATAGAAATAAGAAATACAGCAAAGGTAGAAATAAGAAGACTAGAATACATGGAAAGATGAAAAGGAGAAATTAAATGAGAATGTGGGGTTGAAGTTTGAGGAAAATAGGTAAATTATGATGTCATTAATCGGTAAATTATGATGTCATTAAAACAGCAATAGGAGAAACAGAATTTTGCCAAACTGCACTTTTTGTCTCTCAAAGATGCAATTGTATAAAGGCCTAGGTTCGAATACTGGTTCAACTAATTTGTAGTTGTATCAACACTGGAACAATGACTTAAACTTGTGAATAAGTCTGTTCTGTTAAATAAAGATAATTCCTACTTGCACAGTTGAAAGAATTAAGTCTTTTTCTCTTTCACACATATACACTTTTGTAAATAAAACTCATATCCCAATACTTGGCACATAGAAAATCCTTTATAAATTATTACTCTTGCTATTGTTCATCCAACCCAGCACTAACTTAGAAATATAGGAATTTATTCACTTAACAAATATATATTCAGGGTTGAAGTACAACTTAGACACTATAAAAAACACTGGGGCTACAGCTGTAAATAAGATGGAATTTTTTCTTATGTTACTTGCATTCTGGTAGGTAAACTAATCTACAAATAAGGTGACCTTCGATTGCAAAAAGGGCTATACGATGACCAAAGCAGGCAAGATGGCGTCAGGTGGTGGGCAGCTTGGGGCTTATTCAACCATCACGTCCAGAAAGAGGTATGCGACACTTGAGCCAAATACCAAGAGGGACGACGGCCTCATGCAGTCAAAGTACATACAATAAATTAGGAGTCTTGGTACTTATTAATACAAGGAGTCCCTGCAGTGGGAGCAATGAAAAAATTGGTGGAGTGATTTGCTCTATATGGTGCAATTCAACAGTATAATGCTCTAGATGAATACCCAGCAGATGACTTTACTGAAGTGTATCTTATTAAGTTTGTGAACTCACAGAGTGCAAGAACAGCCAAGAGAAAAATGGATGAACAGAGTTTCTTTGGAGGATTGCTTCATGTATGTTATGCTCCAGAATTTGCAACAGTTGAAGAAACTAGGAAAAAAATGGAAGAAAGAACAGACCTGCCATTTGATCCTACAATTCCTCTACTAGGTATATATCCAGAAGACCAAAAATCACACTACAACAAAGATATTTGCACCAGAATATTTATTGCAGCCCAATTCATAATTGCTAGGTCATGGAAGAAGCCCAAGTGCCCATCAACCCACGAATGGATCAATAAATTGTGGTATATGTACACCATGGAATATTATGCAGCCCTAAAGAAGGATGGAGACTTTACCTCCTTCATGTTTACATGGA